CAGACACTTACCCTATGATCACAATCCGTGTCAATTGAATATGAATGGCGAGTATATAACAAACAAATGGTATATAAATATGAGTGTGAAATGAGTCACAAATACAACGGATAGTAATGCTATGAAATACTGTGTGTTATTGTAATGCCTTTACAACTGTTTTTATATACGTATTGCCAGTCAATACAGTCATACAGTGTGTGGTGCACTCACTGTACGCAAGGGGTCGCCTACGCTATCCAATAGCGCACTCAATACGAGTGTACCGTAAACTGAATCGAGTCTACGTGACCCTCACCATATCGATTATGGGATTAGGCATTTTGCACATACATTAGCACTGCTAATCCCATGTCCACTACCTGGATGATCACTGCCCGGGCACACTACACATTTAATAAGCATGTTTGCAATCAATCGCTTTGCGTTCACTACAGTTTAGGTCTCATTGCATAAGTTCTCACCTGTTTGTGCAACACTATAGCCCGTATTCATTTAACCAAGTTCATTGTAACTATCTTACAGTAGACTAATTCAAGTTTTAGCTAATATACAGTAATAGTTCACAAAATAAAATGTATATTACATATCAATTTTATACACTTTAAAAAGCCATGCAGAATATTCTTGAAGGGGTTCAGAAAAGTACAATATATTTGTGTGACCCCCTAATGTCAACGAACTATTGCTCACAAACAACGTGCTGTCAAATAAAGTAAAAGTTGCAAAAACAATAGATTTTTACAACTAATGTTGTAATTAACCATAGATTAGTAGTTGATGAATTAAAATTAATTAATTTGCTATGAATTTGTTGGTAATTTTGCGAAATAAATTTATAAAAACTAAATAAAACTTTGTGCGTGTCGTATTGTTTACGCGGAGTACAGTTGGTATAAAACAATTGTAGACAAATGTAAGCCAAAGTCTACGCACTGCGTGAACAGAAAGCTCGTGACAAATTTGATCACAACATAATGTTTTGAACATTTCATTTCCATTGACTCAATGACTCAATGACTCAATGTGTGAACGAATGCATTGAATATATAGTGAGAGACTAACAAATAGTCGACCGAAAGGTATGCCATATATTGAGCGCCAAATCGTTTCGCCACTCATTTAACTGATCCGAAGATCAAATGGTGATCCGCGTGTCTGTCCACTCAACCCATACACCACTCATTCA